CGTGGCTTACGGAAGAGCAGCTGGGGAATTTGGATGAGAAGACACTGTATTTTCATTTTCCACACAGCTACCTGCAAATTAGCATCCCTGTCCATTGTGAAGGAAACAGACCACAGAGGTATTAGGAGTACCTGAGGCTTCGTCACCAACTGAAATCACACTAGTGATTGGAAATACTTAGAAATGCCATTTATGCTCACCAGCACTTCACAGGGACTATGGCTAATTAGACTTGTTGCTAGATCTTATTATTTAGTTCATTAATAAAAATATACACGATGTAAACATTTATGTATTTTATAACTATTTAAATGTAATTGGTTTTTATTTATTTATTTAATGTTTTTATTGATTTCAAAAAGAGAGGAAAAGAGAGAGAGAGAGAGAGAGAGAGAGAGAGAGAGAGAGAGAGAGAGAGAGAGAGAAAGAGAGGAGAAAGAGAGAGAGAGAGAAAAACATTGATGTGTGAGAGAACCATTGGTCGGTTGCCTCCTACATGCACCCCAACCGGGGACTGAACCAGAAACCTGGGCATGTACCTTGACCCAGAATCCAACCAGTGACCTTTTAGTGCACTGGGTGATGCTCAAGCAATTGAGCCACACTGGAGGGTCAAAGGTAACTGGTTTCTTTTGTAAAAACGATATTCTTTTACGCCTTTAAAAACATTCTGAGAAGAGGTTGACTTCACCAGACTGCCAAAGAGGTTCACTGCATACAAGGTCACCACCCTGCTTACACCCTGCCTTCTGGGGCAGGCTTGGGAGAAGGTGGGAGCAAACTGAAGCCTTAACTTTTCTGAGAGCCTCTGGCCGTGCGAAGGGAGATGCTGCCCACTAGCGGTTGGAATGTAGAACTGTGAGGCTGAGAAGAGCACAGGCCCTTGGACAGCGGGTTGGGGATATTGGTAAAATTTCTTGGTACTTGTGTCTGAAAGGAGAGAACAAAGGCAACAGGTGGTTTTACCCCTGCCTCCAACTCCAGCTGCATCGATTAAACTTCTCTTCCCTGGTCCCTGTGCTCCACCCATTTTCTCTGTCTCTCAGTGCCTGGAAGCCTCGGCCTGCACTAGAGTGCTAACCCATGCTCTCACCTCTGCTGGACTGCCCGCCCCCCGCCCCCATCACCTCCTCTGGATAACTACACTCTCCCTCCATATCTGACCTCAACCCCTGACCCTCCAGGCCAGGCCAGGCTCCTGGTCTAGATCTGTGCTCACAGCAGTTCTCCTTGGGGTGGGTTTTGTTCATCATTTATCACTGCCCTGGGGCAGGGCTGTTGGCTCTCTGCAGCAGCACTTGCTAATGAAGAGTGGCTGCGAAGTGGGAAAATTCATAAAGAGACGGTGAATGCCAGCAGAATGGACTTAGGTCTATGAGAAATCAAATCAGATGGCCTCCCTCCACCGTGACAATCCCCATGACTGCCAAGCCTCTACACACTCCCCGGGGGTCCTGCTTTCACCAGAAACAGGGTTCCCCAGGATCACACAGTGGAAACGGGGTAGCAAGACTGACAGGCCAGCCGAAGCCGGTTTGGCTCAGTGGATAGAGCGTTGGCCTGCAGACTGAAGGGTCCCGGGTTCGATTCCGGTCAAGGGCATGTACCTTGGTTGTGGGCACATCCCCAGTAGGGGTGTGCAAGAGGCAGCTGATCGGTGTTTCTCTCTCATCGGTGTTTCTAGCTTTCTATCCCTTTCCCTTCTTCTCTGTAAAAACTCAATAAAATATATTTAAAAAAAAAAAAAAAAAAAAAAAAGACTGACAGGCCAGGGAGACAGATGGCCCGGAGGTCAAATCCTAGCCTTGAGGCTTCCTTCCTGGGTGACTCAGCCACTTTGTGCCTCAGTTTCCTCATCTGTAAAATAGTGAAAGTAACAGTACCCAGGTTAGGATGCTAACGAGGTACCTAGGAAAGCACTCAGTACCTAGCAAGTACTGATCAGGTGGCGCCTAAAGGAAAAGAGCCCAACGAGCCCTGGACGGTCAGTCCACCCTCCCTTCCTTCGGGAGAGGCACGAGGCAGCCCTGCAGCAGGCCTGGGTCCAGCTCCCCTTCTGCCCCGGCTCTGTCTCGGTTGTGATATTCATGGGAGCCGCCAAGTAGCAACAAGTAGAAGCAGAGCCCTGGTCGGGTGGCTCAGTGGACTGGAGCATCATCCCCACAGTGTGGGGTCTACACCAAAGGGTTGCGGTTTTGCTTCTGGGTCAGGGCACATACCTGGGTTGGGGGTTTAGATCCCTGGTTGGGGTGTGTCAACCAATTGGTGTTTCCCTCTTTTCCTCCTTCTCCTATCCCTAAACATCCGGGGGTGAGAATTTTTTTTTAAGAAGTAGAGGCAGGGGACTTTCTCACTGCTGGGCTGCATCCCTGCCTGTGCCCACGCCTTCGCCTCCCCGAGGATGTGCTGAGCTGCTGCCCCTGCAGAGAGGCCTGACGCCACGCTCTCCTTCTGGTCTTCATACACTCCCCTCCCTGCCCAGGTCTCACTCCAGAGATTTATAACCAAAGTCGTGGACTCTGGCTTCCGGTGGAGTTATACCATTGGTAACATACTTGGCACAGAATATATGAATGCTCAATAAATACCAGTTATTTCTCTGTTAGGAAACTGTGGGTTGTCCTGAAAGTCGCAATCCTACCCTGCCCTCTTAACTTTATAACATTTGCTAAGCACCTAGCACAACCTCTGGCACTTCCCGGCTTTCAGGAAATGTGGGCGGTGGAGAGGGTGAAAGAGCCAACGGAAGCTTATTTTCCTTCTCCAGGCCCAGGTGGGCTTTGCTGCGCAGACTGCACAGTTGCCGCTAGAGGGCAGGAGAGGTTAAGACAACGATACGCAGGCCCTCTGGGACCCTGAATTACTGGTTTGACAAGAGAGGCTGAAGGAAGGATAAAAAAAAAACATTAGAATGCTTGAAAAAAGCCAGTTCTTTATCTCTTGGGGACCCAATGGAAGGAAATGTGTGGCTAGAGAGATTGAAGTTAGACCTCAAGAAGAACTTCCAGCCCTGGCTGGTTTGGCTCAGTGGATAGAGTGTCAGCCTGCAGCCTGAAGGGTCCCAAGTTCGATTCTGGTCAAGGACATATGCCTGGTTGTGGGCTCAGTCCCCAGTAGGGGGCGTGCAGGAGGCAACCAATCAATGATTCTCTTTCACCATTGATGTTTCTATCTCTCCCTCTCTGAAATCTATAAAAATATATTTTTTTTTTAAAAAGAACTTCTGATGCACAAAGTATGCTTGCTAGAGATTTTATACAATTGATTTTTTTTTTTTTTTTGTCTTTAGCTACATCTGCCCAAGCAGAATAGATGAGAAGCTGGGCTCTTCCTGCCTGAGGCTGATGTGACCCCACTAGGCCCGATCAAAGTGTCTGCCTTCAATGACTCCATTCCTGCAGATGCAGTTGTAAATACCTTTATTGGTCAGTCAGCCACCACTCATGCTGTCCCTGTAACAGGATCCTTTATAGCGGCATGATGGCGCTCACATGCAGGTGCTTTCTGAAGAGCCTGGCAGGGGCAGCCTTGCCCCTCCCACCAGAGCTCCTTGGTTGAAACGAGCTGGTTTGTTTGGCTTTTGCGGATTTCAGGGTCTGGGGCCAAGAACATAATCCAAGGGTCCCTCCTTCGCTTCCTGGGGAAGCTGCTTCCACACACGCACCGTGTCAGGGGCACCGTGGCCTCGGGCAGGGGCTACCAGGCTATAGGGCTACCTCTCTTCCAGCCGTCCCTGCCCCGGGCTTCCCAGGTGGCTCTATCCCCATGGGGGGCCCCAAAGAGGAGGGCTAGGCTCCAGGCGACGTTACCTTTCAGAAACGGGGAGACTGCAAAGCTCTCCGGCCAAGCTATAAAGCAACAGGCACCTTCAGGAAGGAGAGTGGAGCTCAGAGCTGCAAAAGCAGAGGGTTGGATGCTCTCTCAGCGCAGGAAGGAGCTGGCTGCCTGGCCTGGGCCTCAGCCACCGGTGAGCATCTCCAGCCAGCGCTGACCCTGCAGACCCGTGGCCTCAGCACAAGGCAGTGAACCAGGTGAGCCACCACCCCCTCCTCGGGCCAGCAGGCAAGCCCCGGCTGGCTGGAGTCTGCCTCTCCATCGGGATGTAGGCCTTAAGAGGAGGGGCCAAACCCCCTTTCTCATCCTGGTCTCTCCTTTGAGGATAAGACCCAAGCAGGGAGCTGCTGGCCATGCAGAGCGAGCGTGGGGCAAGATAGGATCATGGGCAGCCGTCTCATCCGGCTTGTTCCACCTGTCCTTCCTCTGCTGAGGTCCCATCACCTGCTAACGCAGAGCCCCCTCCACCTCTAAGCTTATAGCTGGATGTCTCCTCCCACATCGGGCCCTGAATATTGTCATCATAACGGTGGCCTTGAGCCTGGTGGCTTTCCAGGAGAGAGGTTAGGGAGGCAGAGAGGTGACTCTTGTGTCCTTCCAATTGCAGGCCCGGGGGTGGGTCCTCTGGCAGGCAGGTGCCCAGTGCCTTGGGGCTAAGGCCAGAGAGCTGTCCAGGGGGCAGGTTGAGAGGATGAGGTGGAGTTGGGAGGCAGCTGGACAGAGGTATATTCTGAGGAGCAGCGAGTGCCAGCCCAGGGAGTGGCATGACCAGCCCCACACGCAGGAGTGGCCGGGCGCTGCTCAGAGCCGGGGATTGTTGGGAAAATAGCGAATGAACCGTGTGCCCAGGCAACTGTGAGAGTTCATGACGCCAGGCCCTCGGGAAGAAGCTAAGGGTAGTGAGATTTCCTGACGCTGGGACTGCGGGGAATTCCTCCCTCTGCCACCACCCCTGTCCTGGGAAGGGGAGCTTGGGCCCTGCACCTCCACTGCCTGTGCCCTGACCCACCTGACCCCACCTACAAGGAAGAAGATATCAGGGGAGCCCCTGGAGTTCTGTCGCCTGGTCTGTCCTAGACCTTCCAGCAAAAGCCAAACCAAACCATCAAGCCAAATGCGGTGGGCGTGGGGCTCGGCCCCGCGTAGGGCGGGCCGGGCGGGGCCGCTCAGATCTCGATGAGGCTGGCCTGGCGCAGGCACAGGGGCGCGTCCTCGGGCATGGCGCTCCGCTGGATCTCATTCCCATCCAGGCGCAGCACCTGCAGCTTCGAGAAGTTGACGACGTCCACCACGGTGCAGAAGCTGCTGATGGAGAACTCTGCGGGCACAAGAGGGGCGGAGGTGGGCGGGAGGAGCCCGGATCAGGGACCCGGATCCACAGCCAGGCTGGCCCAAGCGGGGTTCTAGAGTTGGAGTCATACCGACTCCTACCACTAGGGGGCGCAAAAGTGGGACCTCAGCTGTGTCTGGCTCAGCTGGGCTCCAGCTCAACAGCCGCCCCCCCCCCCACAGCACTTTGCAGACCCTGGAATGCCCTGGAGTGTTCTTCCAACCAGGACCTGGCCCTTCCCATCTGCGTGCAGCAGGGGGAAGCAGAGGAAAGCAAAGACCAGGCCTGGCAGCGAGCGGTATGGATAGCATTTGGGAGGGCTTGTCTCAATTGCTCTGAGATGAGAGACAAGGGAAATGGAGGGACTCAGAGCTGGAATAGCTCCTGCCACTTTGCACACAGAGAAAGTGGCAGGAAATTAACGTGGGAGCTCCAGGGCAGAGAGACCACCTCTGCAGACCAGGCTCCCGGGGGCTGTGCCCCTCCATTCCCAGCACCGCCCGGGGTGAGCAAGGTGCTGAGGCTCAAGGTCATACATAGTCAGATGAGCCAGGCTGCCAAGAGCCCCAGGAGCCAAATACACAGTCCCCCTGCCTCCTGCATTTCGTATGATTGTGGTTTATCTCTTTCTTTTAAATCCCTGAAGAGTTCCTCCCCCTTTCGAAGCTTTCCCCCCAAACCACGTAATCCCTAATAGGTGCGATCGTTCTGTTTGGTTTTAACGAATTCTTCTGTAGCTTTTTACCCCCTCTTCCCTCCGATCGTCCTCTTAGATACAACAGCCCCTTCTGTCCAGGGTTTACGGGTCAGGAATTTGAGAGGAGACAAACTAGAACTCAGTTAAAAACCCAGCAGGGACAGCAGAAGTCGCCTCCGAAAGCTCTGAGGCCCCCAAGGGCTTGAGGAAGATGCTGGTGTGAGAGTCCATTTGGGTCGGGTCTCAAGGGCAGGGTCCACACGGTACATCTCCAAGGCTGGAATCCCAGGCTGAGCCTGGGTGAGGTTCGCTTTGTGTCCACCGGAGGCGCTCTCGGCTGGCCGCGATGGTCAGGAGCTCTGCGGGCCTGGAGCTGGGCAGCAGGAGTGGGAGGCAGGCTTTCTGACTCCCCAAGGGCGATGGAGGAGGGCATTGTTGGGGTGAAATGACGGTTGCCAAGGAGGACAGTACAGAGAGCTCACGGGCTGAGGGAGAACAGGTTTTTAAGTGAATACAATCAATTGGTTTCCGTCTCTGTTAAGAACTCATCAAGAGGAGGTAAGGTGAGGCTGCTGGCAATGTGAAGGGAAGCCGGAAAATCCAGCCCCAAGGCCTAAGGAGGGGAGGGGAGGAATGCCCTCTTCCAGAGTGCACTAGGGCGGGAGAGGAAATCTGAAATGCTTTGGGATGCTCCCTTTCTGGTCCTGGGGAATGGGTACAGTGGCCTCAGGGTGGCCAGGCTGCGGGCACAGCAAAGGCCAGGGGCTGCGTCTGTAGTGTCTGCATGGCAGCAGCGGGCAGGATGAGCTGGGGAGGCGCAGAGTGGCACAGCGTGAGTATCCGACCCTATTTGGGACTGTGCTGGAGGTCCCAGGATAGAATCTGTACCCCTGTCCAAACCCTGGCTCCCAGGTCTGCACGTGTAAATATGGGGCCCCTAAGGCTGTGGGCACACGGTGTGTAAACTGCCTACATGTTGGGTACCCTGAGCCCCCTGTGCTCCTTCCCCAAGCTCACTCATAGCACAGGGCTCTTCTGCTTGGGGACTCTGAGGACACTCTCCAGCCCAGATTGAAAGCTGACATAAGTCTTTCCAAGTTTCTGCTGCTGGACCCGCCCTGCTCCACTGGATCCCAGAGCTGCTGAGTACAGTCCGAGCTGTGTTCCCTACCACTGCCAGGCTGGAAAAAGTGAGGGCCATGCTAGTGGAAGAAGGGGGGGCTGTCCCCTGGACACCCTTTAGTTCCTGCCCGTCTTCTGGGTCCTTCCTCGGGGGGCAGGAGGGTTTGTTTCAATCCTGCCCGCACCCCCGCCCCTGCTGGGGGCCCTTTCTGTCATTCGCCCTAGGAGAGGGGCTAAGCTGGGGCTCTGTCTTCCCTGCCCGTGATCTGCCTCAGGGAGGTGCTCCTCTTATTCTCAGCCGGACGCCCGGCTCCGGGACCCTTGGACCACGAAAGGAGAGGCTCAGGGTACAATGCTACACAGCCTGGGTGACACCGAGAGGCTGCTTTCCTTCCCTGCCTCAGTTTCCCCATCTTTGTACTGCAAAAAAGTAAAACAAAGCAAAAACGATGCCTGTTAACGTCAAAGTGGCAAAAAAAAAAAGAAAGAAAATCTAATAACAGTGATGTGCATTGCTTTCCCAATATTGTGCCAGGCCCATTAATTTTGTAATTAAGAAAAATAAGGAATTGCTGTTTGTCTAAAGAGAAGAGTAGGGGAGAAACTAATAAGGAGACAAAGAGGATTTGGCTTAAATTGTACAAGAAGGGATGTGGGGTAGACACTGAAAAATGTTATTATTATTATTTTTTTAGAGTGAGGATATTTATTTCCCCATTGATTTTCAGAGAGAGTGGAGGGGAGGAAAAGGAAGGGGGAGAAGGAGAGAGAAACATTGATGTGAGAAAGACACATTGATCCTCCATGGGCCCCGACCAGGGGCAGGGATCGAACCTGCAACCCAGGTAGATGCCCTTGACGGGGAATCAAACCCAAGACCCTCTGATGCACAAGCCAATGCTCCAACCACTGAGCAACGTCGGCCAGGGCAGAAGGATTTTAGGTTTTTTGATTTAAGGAGAACTTTCTTGTGAGACCTTAGGACACTTTATCTGAGTTTTAGGAAGGGATGGGCCACCTAATATTTGAGCAGCAAACACGTTCTGCACGAGGGCAAGGTGGTAACAGATGCTGGGAGGAAGCCATTTCCAACCCAAGTTTCTCTGATCATATAGTTTGGCAGTAACAAATGGGTCCTCTCCCATGACAGATGCTCTTTGCGGTCACAGTTTCACGGTCAAACTCCGATGGAGCAAAATATAGTACATGCCATTTCCGATGTGACAGTCCTCCTGGGTTCAGAATGGGTGGCAGGTAGGGAGTGGTGACTTCTGGGAGGGGTGATGGAGAGCGAGTGGAATGATGGACAACTGCGGGTAAATGTTATACTCTTTGTGGCATGCAACATCTTAGAGACACCTGAGAGAACTGTCCCCTCAGAATTAAAGACAAAACTGGCGGAAACCGGTTTGGCTTGGTGGATAGAGCGTTGGCCTGTGGACTGAAAGGTCTCAGGTACGATTCCGGTCAAAGGCATGTACCTTGGTTGCCGGCACATCCCCGGTAGGGGTTGTGCAAGAGGTAGCTGATCGGTGATTCTCTCTCATCGATGTTTTTAACTCTCTATCCCTCTCTCTTCCTCTCTGTAAAAAATTAATAAAATATATATATTAAAAAATAACAAAACCGTTTGCAGTGCACACAATGGTGTCTTACATTCAAACTAGAGGACCAGACACCTCTTCAGCTTTCTTTTGTTGTTATTGTTGTTGTTAATCCTCGCCTGAGGATATTTTCCCATTGATTTTTAGAGAGAGAGTGGAAGAGAGAAAGAAAGAGAAATATCGACATGAGAGAAACACATCGATTGGTTGCCTTCTGCATGCACCCCAACCAGGGCCAGGCCAGGGAGGAACCTGCAATCAAGGCACGTGCCCTTGATCAGAATCGAACCCAAGACCCTTTGGTCCAAAGCTCGACACTCTAACCACTGAGCCAGACCAGCTAGGGCCCTCATCAGCTTTCTAGCCCCACTGCCAGCCTCTGGGGCTGGTGCCTCGCTCACTCGCTCACTCAGAGAGCTGTCCAGCTCGATAATGTCTCACCAAATGACTGATCAGTTCCCTGAGCTCAGGGAGAAAGAGGATCAAGAGGCATGGGTGATTACTCAGCCCTGTAGGTGCTCTCTGCTCTCTGTAGGCTCTGCTTCAAAGCCCTTTGTTAGTGAATCTTTCTTTCCCCAGGGAGAGGGGGCTTGGCTGACAGAGAAAGGGAGGTTAAATGCTGGCTCTGGACCCTCCGGGTAGGATTAAGACATCAGAGGCCCGGAGCCATGTAAGCACAGTCTGAACCAAGATTCTGAGCAGGAGCTGACAAGCAACCAGGTAATCCAATCTGCAGGAAGCTTTGGGTCCCAGAGGCAGCTCTTTGGGTTCCTTTAGGCATCTGCAAGGAAGTGCTTGGGAAACGGGAAGCCCATATCCTCGCCCACCACCCCAGGGCTTTGTGGTGGTCAGGCTCCCGCTATTCCAGGGGGACCTCTGCCCTGCCTCCAGGGACTCCTTGAACTCCAGGGAGAACTGACCTGAACAAACACTGCATTCAGCTCTGAGCGGCTGCACATTCTTGTCCACCAGCTGTTAGGTTTGAAAAGCAAATAATCACCCAAGCTTAAGACCAGGCTGTAGAGGCAGGAGTAGACGGTGTGGGAACAGAGGGCTCATCCTCTTCTGGACCAGTGAGTAGGTGCAGATGCCATGGTTTCTTAGCCACCTTCCCCGGCTCCCCTCCTCCCCCCTCCGCCCTCCCAGGATAGATTATACAAACTCAACTTCAATCCCTTCTCTCTAAGAACTGCCACTCCCAACCCTTTCCAGACTCAAATCTCACTGCGCCTCAATCCATGACCCCTTCCTCTCAGACACACGCATTTCCTGGCTGTCCCCTGCAGGTGACCTGCTCAATGACCGGTTCCTTTGTTGGTGGCAATTTGTCTTCCCAGAATGGCATTGCCCTGAGTTCCTCTAGCCCATGCCCACTCATCTCTCAGGTCCTGCCTTGAAACTCACTTCTGGGAAGTCTTCTTACCAACCCACTGGCCACTACATGTTACTAACCCCGCTGTTCGTGTAAGGCTGGGTCTCAGGCTGCTTTCTCTGTGCTCGCTAGTGACTCTACCGCTACGTCTCTTGTGTTGCCACCGGCACTAAGAATAGGGTCTTTCCAGTGACGTAGACTGCCGCTCCCACGCCCCTCTGCCAAGGTCTCACCATTGATCCTGTTGCCTTGGAGGTAGAGGTTCTCCAGGTTGGTGTTGACGGGGGGGATCTTCTGCAGTTGGTTGTAGGAGAGGTCGAGCTCCAGGATGCTGCTGGAGTTGAAGGTGTTGGAGGACAGGCCATTGTTGGTGAGGCTGTTGTGGGACAACCGCACGTACAACAGTTTGGGGGACCCCCGGAAGTAGCTGTCGGGGACGGAGTAGACGTTGTTGTGCTCCAGATACAGCTGCTCGAGAGCTGAGGGCAGTCCATCCGGCACCCTCCGGAGGTGGTTGTAGCTCATGTCCAGCAGGATCAGCGACCGGAGGCCCCTCATCGCACTGCCCACTTCCTGGATCTCGTTGTGCTGAAGGTACAAGGCCGTGAGGTTCTCCAGTCCCTCCAGAGCATTGTTGGGGACCCGGGAGATCTGGTTGTGGTCAAGGTGGAGCTCCCGCAGGGATCGAGGCAGCGGGCCGGGCATCCGGGTCAGGTTGTTGTGGTCCAGGTACAGCCTCTCCAGGTGCCTCAGCTTCGAGAAGACCTTCCTGCCCACCTTGTCGCTGGTGATCTGGTTGCCATGGAGAGCGATCCAGAGCAGCCCGGTGGCGTTGTCAAAGACCCCTTCCTGGATGGAGGAGATCTGGTTGTTCTGGAAGTAGACGTACTTCATGCGGGAGGGGACGAAGGGCAGGTACTTCAGGTTGCGGTTGTCACAGTACATGGCCGTGGGGAAGTTCGGTGGGCAGTCACACTCCTGGGGGCAGTCTCGCGGGTCGGGCGGTGGGGGTGGAGAGCCGTAGGCGTAGGCCGGCCCCTCCTCCACCCCGTAGGGGTAAGGCTCGTAGGGCTCGTAAGGGTAAGGTTCGTAGGGATCGTAGTAGGTGGACTGCTGGCTGCGGAGGTAGTGGAACCACCAGTGGGGGTCGTCGTCATACTGGGCCCGGGAGAGGGAGCAGAGCCCTGCCAGCAGCAGGACAGAGGCCCACTGCATGTTGTCTCTGCAAGAGGGGGAGAGACAGAACAGAGCGAGCAGACGTGAGTGAGACTCCAGGGAGTGCGTGGGTGAGGCTTGGGCTTTGAGCAGATCCGGTTCAGTGCCAAACACCTAAACATAGGAGCCTTGCTCTCCCTTCCTGCAGGCTTCCTCCCAGCTGGACCGTGGCTGTCTGAGGGGAGCTGGTGCATTCCCCTCTCTCCCCCAGGCCCAGAGGCACGGAAGCAGTCTTTGAGATGAGAAGACACTCGAATGGGGGTGCTGCATTTTTTTGGAGGGGCAGATCCATGGCAACCCGAAGGCTCTGTTGTGGCAGCTGGAGAGCCCATAGCGAGCCCCGTGGGGTGGGGTGCTCTTCGGGCCTGAATTCACATGCAGCGTGGACTCCCCGGGGAAGTACTAATTTCCCAAAGCCTAAGGGAAAGGCCCCGTGGCCCTTTTCATGTCTCTGGGAAACCTCCAGCGGCGGCTGCAGACCTCAAAGGGGAAGGTCTGAATTACTGCTGAGAGGTCCTCTGCCTCTCGGGCAGGCTGAGGGTTTCTGATTTTGAGCCTTTGGGGAGGCTTGGGCTGCCCTGCAGAGTGCCAGCATCTAGGACAGCCTGCTGGGTGAGAATGCTCTTGGGTTAGCAGTGTGTGGTTCCCCATGCCATTTGGCAGGCGCCGGCGCCCAGGAATGGCACTTGTCTCCCAGAGCGGCTGGGGACAGGGAGTCTGAGTCAGCCCACCTGCTGTCCACGGTGATGTCTAGGAAAGTCTTAGCGCGCTTCGTGCTCCACCACGGACATGACGCAAGGGCCATGTGCGGCCAGGAGCCCTGCAGTGAGGGCCGGCACAGAAGGGAATAGGAACTGGAGACTTTCACGTGTGCCCAAGGGAACGTGGCTTTAGAATGGGGTTCTGGCACCCCCTCACTCCCTGCCATCCCCTGTGGAGACATCTGGATTACCAGGCTCCATATCGAGGCCCCCACACTGGCATCAGCCTGTTGCCTTTGAACTTACATGCCAGCGAGAGGAGAACAGGCAGGCCTGGGGATAAATGTAGGTTTGGTGTCACCTGAGGGGGAAGCTGAAGGTATGGAAGATGAGGGGTCAGGGGGTGACGTATCAGGCCTGAGCACCCTACTCTGAATACCTATAGGCAAAGTGCTGCACAGCTCCTGTGAGCAATGGGCACCTGTGAGCAAGGGGCACCGTCCAGAGGTGTGAGTGTCATCCTTGGATGGGGAAACCTTAGACCCTTTTTGGTCCTGAAAACGTCACCAACATCTCTCACCTCACTTTGAGGCCATGCTGGGGTTGGCCGCGGTGGACAGGGGAAAGAAAGAAGTCTAAAAGCCAGCACGAACTCCAATGAGTCAATGGGAAGCACCTTGACCATGACAATAGAGTCACTCAGTGTCCACCACCCCTCCCAGACCTCTTGGTCCCCTGAAAGCAGTTCTCTTAGACCAGCTTCGTCCCATCAGCCTCTGGGCTGCAGAGCAGAGGCAGCCTGGCTCACTCTCAGGCAGCCTGAAGCCTCGGACAAAGAGCCCACAGTGTTTCTGAGAAGCCAACCCCATCGCCCATGGCCTGGGCACGCTGGCTGGGGCCCGGCTCTGGCCAGGAGCGAAGACGGATGGAGCAACCCGTTGCCAGCAGCACATTTTTCCATGCACAGCTCCGGCTGTTGCAGGACCAAGGTGGCTGTCTGGAGGCTGGCACAGTGAGCCTCTGTCTCCGTTTCTCCTTCCAGACTGGCTACGTTGGCAGACAAGAGCTACCTTCCTCCCCAAGACCCAGCTGTCCAGGGGCATGCATCCTGTCCACTGGGCCTCTCCTTAGGAGCCCCGACTGCTGACAGGGTTTGGTGGGGGCCTTATGCCTCTGCTTGTCCTACCCCCATCTCTTGTTGTCTGCTCTTAAATCACCCCCTAATGCTAGAGACCCTCCCCTGCTCAGAGTTTTGTGAGGGGAAGGTTCTCAGACTGCTACTCTGGGAGTGGGGGAAGCTTACTCAGGAGTTACTGCTGCTCTCTCATTTCTCCACTCTCCAGAACCACTCCTCCCTCCTATCAGAGTGGAGGAGGTCAGACCAGAAGCCAGCCCCGCTCTGGACTGGACCCCCACTCACAGCTCCCTGACATGGTCTCTTTCTCCCTCTTTCACCCCAGCAACATACACACACACACACACACACACACACACACACACACACACCACACATACACACACAACACACACACACACACCACACATACACACACACATACATACACACACACACACACCACACCACACATACACACACACACACACACACACACACACACACACACACACACTCAGACTCAATACACAAAACCCCTCTGCCCCCCCAGCAGTGTTTCGGCCCCACAGCCCCTCTGTAGGAGAGGCTGCAGGGACACAGGGTTGGGGAGATGGCATTTATGAGTAGTAGCTGGGCAGAGCTGGCCCCCCTTTGCTTTTTCATGCCTGAGAACAGGAGGTTCCCCCCAATAATCAGAAAGGAGCTGCAGGACAAAAGTAGAACGAGGGACCCCTTCTTTCCACTTCCCCTTGGCTATCTCCAGCATCCTTGGGGGCATGGCCCCAGAGAGGGAGAGGGAGGAATGACTTCTCCCTGCCACCCCCTCCCGCTCCCCAGCCCCTTTCCGTTATTTTCTTGTGGAACTACAAGTCACCAGAACCAGCAAAAGGACCGCACTTACCTGGAGCTGACGTTCAGAGTGACCACGTCCCTCTGCCTGTGCACTCCGTGGGGTGAAGGAAGTGTGTGTGAGAGCGAAGGAATGAGCGTGTGCACTGAGAGTGTCGGGGCCTGAGCCAGGCCCGGGTCCCGCCCCCAAATTCCTAATCAAATATTGTGAAGAGAGGGGCTGAGGAGCCAGGATCCTGGCTTTCTGGGCTCTGCTGCGGGGGCGGAGCTCCCATCCAGCCACTAGGAAAACCACCTTCTTTCCACTCACTGTCTTCCCGGAGCTGGCAGCGCGGCTCGCTCTCTGCTGAATGAGTTAGTGGCACCCCACAAGGTATTTGCACAGACTCTGGGTTTTTCATTAAACCACAGGATGGGGAGGGCAGCCTTTGGGAAGAGGCATCTTAATTAACTCTTTCAGCTGCCGGTGTCCCTCTCTCCTTCCGTCCCTCCCCCAGAGCTAGTATCCATCCTTCCCAGCACCATACACTTTCACTTATTCTAGGGGTTCCCAACACATGGCTTGGTGGGTTGAAAAGGGATGATATGAGAGGCTGTGAGTGAGGTGCCCGGCCTGGCACCCAGTGATGCTTACCATGTGGGAGAGAGGATTGCTCTTGTACCCGTTTGACAGATGTAGACACCCCGAGCAAGGGGAAGATGAGGTCCGAGAAGCACACAGGAGCTAGGCCAGGAAGGGACCGTCAGGCCATGGAATGGATTTAGTTTTTTTTTTCTAAACAAGACATGTTGTCTTTTAATCTACTCGGGAGAAGCAACAGGATCTGACTCACTTTTTCCTTTATTTAATATATTTTTAATGATTTCAGAGAGGAAGGGAGAGGGAGAGATGAGAGATAGAAACATCAATGATGAGAATCAATGATTGGCTGCCTCCTGCACTCTCCCTACTGGGGATCGAGCCCGCAACCCCAGAATGGAACCTGGGACCCTTTGGTTCACAGGCTAAGGCTCTATCCACTCAGCCACACCAGCTAGGGCCTGACTCAGATTTTTAAAGGCACATGGGAGAAACTGCTGGGTGGGGAAGGGAGGTGAGGGTGGAAGCCACAGACTCATGGAGAAGGGATGGCAGATTAGCCTAGAGCAGTGTACTTTTTAGATAGGGAACTGAAGGTGCGCCTGCTATGAGGCATTAGGGAGGTCAAGAATGAGCCCAAATGTGCAGTGTGAGCCGCTGGGTGGGTGGGCGCTCTATCCCTGACATTGGGAAGACGGGAGGAACAGACCTGGGTGGACACCCACAGCGTGCTGCTCTGTACCACGTTCCTGGTGAGGCCTTCCCGTGGAGATGCGCACACACAGGCTGCGAGTCTGAACTTGGAGTTTGGGGGTTGGAAGAAGACATTTGGGAACCTCGGAATTTAGATCACGTGTCCTAATTGCTCTCTTCAACTTAATGGCCTCCCATCCAAGAAACACCCCCCTTAAAAACATTTTTTAATTGTGGTAAATTACATACAACATAAAATGTGCCCTCTTAACCACTGTGAGTGTACAATTCAGAAATGTATTTGCATTGCCATGTCACTGGTCTCCAGAACGTTTTCATTTTTTTTTTAAACTGAAACTGTATTCACTAAACAAAAACTCCCCATTACTCACCCACCCTCCCACTCCCAGTCTCTGCAAACCACCACTCTACTCTCTCTTTCTGTGAATTTGACTACTCTATATACCTCACGTAGGTTCGATCATATAGTATTTGTAGTTCTGTGCCTGTTTTATTTCACTTAGTATAATGCTCTCAAGATTCATCCATGTTGTAGCATGTGTCAGAACTTTTTCCCCGACACGATCCTGTTGTATAAATATACCACCTTTAAAAACTCATCTCTCTGCTGATGGACATTTGGATTGCTTCCACAACTTTGCTATGGTGACTAATGCTGCCATGAACACGGGTGTATAAATGCTTCTGAAAGGCTCTGCTGTTAATTATTTTGGATGTATGCTCAGGGGTGGAATTGCTGGACCAGACGGCAATTCTATTTTTAAGTCTCTAAACCACCATGCTGCTTCCCACAGTGAGGCACCATTTTACATTTTTTATTAACAGTGCAGAGGGTCAAGTTGGAAGCAGTCCTTATTAAAAAGAGATTGAGCAGGCCTCAGGTTTTGCATTTGAAGAATTCAGAGGTCAGGCGGATGGCACTTTTGGTTGCTCTAAAATGTTGGAGCTGTACAGGCTGTTAGAAAGTCCTGGTCAGGGGCTCAATCTTCTCAGCAAAGAGGTTTTGAGGAGATGAAACATAACGAATGGGCCTTGGCTG